TGATGCATTAATGTCTCCTCCCATGGATTCATGTCCTTCTTCCATGGATTCTTGCATCTTTCCATGGATTCTTGCATCTTTCCATGGATTATCGTCTCCTCCCATGAGTTCGTGTCCCCTCTCATGGATTCTTGTGTTATCCCATGGATTCCTGTGTCCTTCCATGGATTAATGTCTCATCCCATGGATTCATGAGTCCTTCCATGGATTAATGTCTCATCCTATGGATTCCTGTGTCCTTCCATGGATTAATGTCTCATCCCATGGATTCCTGTGTCCTTCCATGGATTCCTGTCTCCTCCTGGGAGCAGGACACCCCAACGTGCTCCTTTTGCCCTCCGAGTGTGTTTGCACGGCATTAATTAGGCAATGCATTGTATCAGAAATTAATTACAGTGCTAATTAATAGTTGCTGCTATTCACATTAATTCCCATTAATTTTCAGGCCAAATCCTGCAGGTGCTTTTGCTAATCCCATCTCTCATCCTGCAGGAAATTGTTGGAATGGGGACAAAAATCCCACAGTGACTTCCTTGGGGGCTCCATTCCCACCCATTCCCTGCTGGGATAGTGGATGCCAGAGTGGATCCTTCCATTTTCCTGCTAATTAGTCACCTTAATCTTAGGGTTTAATTAGTTAATTTTAGGTTTAGTTAATTTGGAGACACCATAAATGGGATTTTTGCTCAGCTGGGAGTGGAGCTGCTCCCGTGAGGGATGAGGTGGTGACAAGGGGTTGGAATGAAAGTCTGGGAATCCCTGGGAAGCTGAGTGATTGTCTCCTGTTGGGACAGGTGGGAAGCATCCTGTTCTTCAGGTGCCAGAAGGGATATCTCCTGCAGGGCTCCACCACCAGGACCTGCCTGCCCAACCTGACGTGGAGCGGCGTCCAGCCCGACTGCGTCCGTGAGTCCTGGCAATGCCACGGGGAGCTGGCAATGCCACGGGGCCCTCAGCCAGGCTCTGCCAAAGGAATCCTTGCAGGAAATGTGTTGCATTTTAGGGAGAATTGGGGATTGCAAGGCAGTTTTTAGTCTGGCACTCAGTTCTGGGCTCAGAGGTGCTTCAGCAGCTTTTGGTTTTGTCTTTTTCCCTTAAAAATGGGGGTGGCCAATCCTGATTTTCAGCTCATCAGCTGGAGCCTGGTTCAGCTTTCAGGAACAGAAACCCAGCATGGGAAGCTTTTCCAACTGGGAAAAATCCCTGTGAGCTGTGGTGTAGAACCTCTTCCAGGAGGGTTCCCCCGTTGCTGTCACGGTGTCACTTCTCACCCTCCCCGTGCCCACCTGGGTGGTTTCTCTCACCCGTTCTCCCTGTCCCCTCCAGCCCACCACTGCAAGCAGCCCGAGACCCCATCCCATGCCAACGTGGGTGCCCTGGACCTGCCCTCCCTGGGCTACACCTTGATCTACTCCTGCCAGAGCGGCTTCTACCTCACCGGCGGCTCCGAGCACCGCACCTGCAAAGCCGACGGCAGCTGGACAGGGAAGCCGCCCATCTGCCTGGGTGAGGGGCTGGCAGCACCAGCTGGGCTCTGAGACCCTCCCCAGGCTCTCAGCTTGTGGAGATCCTGGGCCTTGAGGTGCTTCAGAGGTGGTTTTCAACCTGCAGATAAACTCAAGATTCAGTTTTGGTGTCAGAACTCCAAGGAAGGAGAGAGGAGGTTTTTTCAGCCTTAATTTTGTTCCCTTAAAAGTTGTGGGATGGTCCAGCCTGGTTTTCACTTGGTGGGAGGGTCTCCATCATTGATCTCCACTGCAGAATCCCAGAATTTGGTTGGAAAAGGCCTTTGAGGTCATCAAGTCCAACCTGTGACCCAAAACTCAGGTGCCACCTCCAAAGAGCCACCTGGGGATCTTCTGGGGAGTTTTTGGGTCTAGAAGAATCTGAACAGGACAAAAATTGTTTATCTCCCCCACATTTTACCTGCCATGGAGTCTTGGATGAAGAACTTGTTCTGATCCATGGAAATGGAGCCCTGTGGCTCTCCTGGAGTGTGACCCTGGACACTTTCCTGGAGCAGAGGGAAAGGCAGGACAGGCTGGGGACAGTGGCTGAAAGGCAGAGAGGGACCTGGGGGTGCTGAGGGACAGCAGCTGGACATGAGCCAGGTGTGCCCATGGTGGATCAGGGATGGACCAGCAGGAGCAGAAGAGGGATTGTCCCCTGTCCTGGGCACTGCTGAGGGACACCCTGAGTGCTGTGTCCAGCTCTGGGCTCGTCCATCTGGGACATGGAGGGGCTGAAGAGTGTCCAGGGAAAGGAACAGAGCTGGGAAACTCCTGATGGAGCTGAGGAGGCTCAGCCTGGAGAAAAGGAGGCTCAGGGAGGATCTTGTGGCTCTGCACAGCTCCTGAGAGGAGGGGACAGCCCCAGGTTGGGCTCTGCTCCCAGGGGACAGGGACAGGAGCAGAGGGAACGGCCTCAGGCTGGGCCAGGGCAGTTTGGGGT